CCAACCCCCCCTTCCCAATTGCCACCTGGGACCCCTGTCCCCATTCAACCCCCCCTTTTCTCCATCCTCTGACTGCCCCAACCGCTATCCACACCCCTGCCCCTGACCACCACCACCCCGAACTCACCTGTCCTCTATCCAACCCCCTCTGCTCCCTGTCCCCTTACTGCACTACCTGGTGCAGTGGCTGGTGGCGCTAAAGCCACGCTGCCCAGAGCACCAGGACAGGCAGCCGTGCCACCCGGCTGGAGCCAGTCTCTCCACCACGCAGCACAGAGCACCGCTGCGCTGCCTGGTAGGAGGTTGCAGCCCTGCGGCCAAGAACATTGCACCTGCAGTGCAATGAGCTGAGGCTGTGGGGGAGGGGCAACAGCAGGGAGGGGCCAGGGGCTAGCCTCCCAGGCCAGAAGCTCAGGGGCTGGGCAGGAGAGTCCTGCGGGCCAGATGTGGCCCGCGGACTGTAGTTTGCCTTAAAAGGAGACCTACACAACACTTTCAAAAGATGAGACTAGGAGCTTACATTCAAATTTTGCTATACACTAAAATCATGGACTAAATAGAAACACTGGATTTATGGCTTATTACAACAATCTATAGCCTGCTAACACTCCCACCCCCCTGCCCAGTTGCTGCTGCTCCCTCCTGTTTCCTTTCCTACCTGTGATGACAACAGGCCACTTTGCCTTGAATGGTCCTTTTTAAATATGTGTTAACTACTTATGCTAAATAATCTGTTTCATCTTGTATTTATCTCTGACAACTGATCTATATTACAGAGTTAATTGGATATAAGGCAGCTTATTTTGACGTAACTCTGTAAGCACCTACACTGAAATGTAGCCCATGTAACTTGACCACTACACCAACTTAACTCCACCTTCACGAGAGGCATAGTACTTAGGTCAATGTAGGCCGTGGCTACACTCGAAACTCTAAAGTGCTGCTTCGGGAGCGCTCCCGCGGCAGCGCTTTGAAGTGTGAGTGTGGTCGCGCGCCAACGCTGGGAGAGAGCTCTCCTAGCGCTGCAGGTACTCCACCTCCACGAGGGGATTAGCTTACAGCGCTGGGAACGTGGCTTCCAGCGCTGGGGCACTGTTTACACTGGCGCTTTACAGCGCTGTAACTTGCTGCGCTCAGGGGGGTGTTCTTTCACACCCCTGAGCGAGAAAGTTGCAGCGCTGTAAAGCGCCAGTGTAGCTGTAGTCACAGTTAGGTCAATGCAGTGTCAGTGTAGACACTCTAAGCAGACAGAAGAGAGCTCTCCCATCGGCTTAATACCACCACCTCCATGAGAAGCCCCCTCCTGCCGACATAGCACTGGATTTTTCACATCCCTGAGCAACGTAGTTATACCAAAGTAAGTGAGTAGTGTAGACCTTGCATAAATTTCCCAGACATGAAGAGCTCTTTGTAAGCTCAAAAGCTTGTCTCTCTCATCAACAGAAGTTGGTCCAATAAAATATATTATCTCACCCACCTTGTCTCTCTAATATCCTGAGACTGACATGGCTACAACAACGCTGCATAGAACAGTTGGAAGTTTTGGCAGATAAGTAAAGGAGCAATTGGTTGTTTTGTTTTTGTTTTGTTTTGGTTGTTTTAAAATGTAAAATTTATTTGCATTGTTTGAGTCTGCACATAACGTGCAATTCATTGAGAATCTAAGCAGTTCATCTTTAACAATTGCAATTTAAGAAAAATAAAATTCACTTTTTTTCTTGGGTTGATATCTAGTTACAGCAATGGTTGTGACATCATGAGTATAATTGGTGTTGGAGAACAGGAGATCATGATGTTCTGAAAACTGCTTCTATGATATCATCCAGGGTTTTTGCAACTAGAAATAAACCAAAAACAGCCTCTACTTCAAATAAATAAAATTCAAATTTGAATATGTAAAATTAGGCTTCTGAAACCATATTTAATTAAGTAGCCTGATATTCACAGGTGCTGAGCTCCCTATGATTTAGTTATGAGCTGACTGGGTGCTGCAGATGCTAAGCGCTCTGAAAAGTCATTTCTTTAGGTACTAAATGTAGGCTTTTATGTCTTCATTTTAAATGTCCAAGCTTGGAATTTTTGAAAATATCTACAGTAGAACTAATATAAATTAAAAATGTGGAGCTCTTTATGAAGGTTTATTTTATGTCTGCAGCATTAAGATTTGGGGGAGTTAATCTTATTTTAAAAAAATAAGTGAGGGGTACAGGCACAAAGATTTCTATTCCTTCTGTAGCTTTTTTTCGTATTTCACACTTTTTTATTCATTGTGTATTTCAAACAGCATTTAATCTGTTTTACATAGATTTGTGGTTGAATATTTACTACACCTGATGAAAGATCCTGAGTAGTTCATGAAGTCTGTGTAGAAATAAATGTTTGGCCTTTTCCATTAAGGTAATACAAATAACTCTCTGGCTTACAGCGACCATGGATATCTGCCCTCAGTTACAAGTTAAAACTACTAATCAAATATTTGATTGTAGTTGGCTTATCAAATGATCTACTGTATTTTGTTATCTTTTGTTTTTGAAGTCATCAGGACAAACATGCATTTCAAAATCATTCATCTAAGACGGTGGTACCAGTAGAATCGTTCTATATTAAAAGAAGTGTTGCTATCTTTTGTTAATTGGGTATTATATGGGATTTAACTTGGCAACAATTAAGTGGCATTTTCTAACTACAGAAAATATAGCAATGTAACTTTAAAAATATTTTACTTTGTATGTAGTAAACTATAATCTCAAAGGATCCCAAAAGAGTTTAACAATATATATAGCACCAGTGAAATACAGCAACTCTGAGGCTGTAGGTCAGCAACCAGCTAGTGTACAGTACACAATAGTGGAGGCAGGGGAAATTTTGACAAAGATCACAGGCAAATCCTGGCTCTTCTGAGAGTGCCAAGATATTGTTAATCCCTGCACAGAGCAGTCAAGATGGCCTTGATTTTTTTTTTTATGCTGTCAACAGTAAGGTGCATTGTACTAAATTTCTATTCCTCTGAGTGAAGAAGGGCCAGATCAGTCTGGTTGGAAGTCTGTTTATTGAGTCTAGCTTTATACATGATATATTACTCAATAGACCAACATTAGCAATTGCCATAAAATGCATCAATCATAACTTCATTAGGAAAAAATAGATATATTACATTTTAGTAATAAGGGTTGAAATCTTTCAGGGACAGAATTTCAAATGAGTCAAAAGTCAAAATTTCAGGTAAGGTCTAATCGTGCTGCTTTCTTTCATACCTGTAGCCATATTAGTCTTTTGTGATTCATGGAAGTTCTAAACTTGCATATAAACTGTGTTCTTTTTCTCTTCTTTAATTTCAGATATCCTAAAAATACTTTTTTTTTAAAAATGTGGAATTTGGGAACTTAGTACCAGTTTGTTTAGCTTTTTGTCATAAATCTAAATAAATATTACTTTTATTGCAAAATTTAACTTTGAGATAACATTGAAGTTTATCTTTCTCATGGTATTTTGGCCTAATTGCAAGACCTCTGAGGTAATGCCTACACTAAGTACTCTAGGGAGAGCTACTCATCTTCCAGTGATATGTGGGTTTTTGGGCAAACCCAGTGATCTATCCCTCTTTTTAAGGGAAAGAATTATAAAAATAGTAAAATAGAAAAGTCCTCGTTGCTTGAAAAATACCTTCAGGTTGTGTGCACATGTTTAAAGAGTGAACCTTATGTGACTGTTTTAAAGCCTTGTGAGGTTATTGAAGAGTTGTTTTCAAATTGTGGTTAGTGTAAAGTCCTGAAGATAACATAAATGGCAACAGGGCTGGTCATTCAACTTCTAAGTAGCATTAAAGAGTGGAAGCTTCAGTGACCAAACTCACATTGTTTACAGAAACCAAAGGCCAGCTGTTGATGAACTGCCAACTCAATTTAATGAGAATTCATCAACTTATACAGTCCTGTAATGTTATGAAATTAAAGACATCTAGAAAATCAAGGTTGGCTTTTCCTTTAGGGTAGTCAAAAAATGTGTCTACACTTGTCACAGAATTCCATGAACCGAAATAACTTTGCTTTTTAAGATTTTATGTAGTGAACTTACATGCTTTTTTATTAATAAAATATGCTCCCCCTTTTTTTTAGTTGACCGGGTCAGTTTTGGAAGATGCATGGAAAGAAAAAGGAAAGACTGATATGGATGAAATGGTTCAGAGAATTGAAAATGTCGTCCTGGATGCAAATTGCAGCAGGTGGGAAGAAAAATTAGTTGATCATTAATTCTTCAATGCATTCCCTTACTCATGTGTGGGGTTTTCCTACTTCTTCTTCAGAGCTGTATGTGAATTTGAATACAGTAGAAATATTAAGTATGTCAGTGTGAAGAATGCATTCTTTTCAGAGTTATAGTAACCTTAATGGTCTTTGTTCTTATGGGCCATGAGGTAATATACTTTATGCTAGGATATTCCCACACAGCAAATCCTGTTTCTAAAGAATGACTGGGAAATTTGTACATGTATAAATTAGATAGTTTAAGAAATTAATAAAGATTTTAACCTTAGGTGTTAAAATACCTTTTTAGTGCTATACTTCGATAGTGGACATTATAATTATTGCATTTGTTGAAGAAACTTTGTCAGTTACAATATTTCTTGGTTTTGTTCACAATTTACCACCTTGGAAATTTATATACCATATATGATGACTGGTTACTATAGAATACCATGAATATTGTATGTTTGACTGCTAATATATCTCCATTATATTCATTAATTTGAACCAACAGCACTTCCAAAATGAACTGCTGTGCAGAAGAGTTAAGATTAGTTTTCTAAGAGAATATGTTGGATGCTATAATTATAAGTGGCAAAACTGTTCCTGCTAGAGTATCTTGCATAGAATATGTTGATTCAAGACATTGTGAGGGAGATTGACTTCACTAGTCTGAGGGTTTATTGACTTTATTCAGTGTCGCTGATCATCCCCAATGATTATTCTGCTGCCACGATACATCCTCTGTCTCTTATGGATCTGATTAGAGATTGGAGAAACAATGGAGGAGTGGCTGGGTAAATGTCACTCTACTACATTCAGCTTCTGGACTTCTACATAGAAATCTGGGCAGGAGTTTATTCCATCCCTTTGAGTCCTTCCAAGGCTGCTATTACACAGTTATAGTGGGATCCAGACAATTGCAGCAGGTCTCCTGTCAGAGGGAGGAAGGCCAGTGGATCAGTAGTTGTCCCTGCAGAAGCCCTGTTACTGCTCAGTAGCATCTGTGGCAGGTATTGCACCTGAGAGCTTCTGGCTTTGTATGGAAGGAGATTCATATTTGTGGATCGCCAAGATCATTGGGAATGGGAGGACCTACAGCCTCCAAAATCCATGGTAACCAAAGCCTCTCTCACCAGAGGAAAAAGTCAAAGGTAAATTCAGATAAGTGAATGTTGTTGAGTTTTCATCCCCCCAGCTTTCTTATGCAGGCTTTTCGGTGGGAGGGGTAATAATTAGTGAAATTGCCATCTTGATGTAAGATCACAGATGGCAATGCTGACATGAAAGAGAATGTTACAGACTCTGCTTGATTCACTCTTGCTTCAGGTTTGATATTTTAATGGAAATGGAAGTATTGTCTATTGCATATCATCTTTTCAATTAACTATGAGGGGGGAAATCAAATCCCTGAATTTGTGCCTTCTGTAGATCTAGTTGAGAGAAAGTAGTATAAAATCCATCTCCCTGCATCCAGACCCTGATGAGGAAAGAGAATTTATCCAAAATAAATCCTGGAACAAAACAAATTTGAAGGATTTATTGTCTTCAAGGTGTAACTTTATAAAGAAAACCATGTCCTCCAATTACCCAGTACTGTGACCTCCTGAACATAATTGGATTTTTTTGTTCTGTTGCACCAACTTTATGGCTGTTAGCCACTTTACATAAATCAAAAGCCTTGGCAGTATCTTGGATTTTGCTTACTATTAACACTCAACTTTTTAAATAATTTGTGAGTTGTTACTTTTCATGATTTTATTATGCTATATGCTCATCAATTAATTTTTTTTTTTTTTTAGAACAAGTGAGCTTGGAAACATGACATTTAATTTTTTTCTCTCATTGCACACATTTCATTGCCATTGATTAAACTACAATATCTTCCTTCATAAAAATAGGTAAGGGAAAAAACGGACTATAAGCGATACTGTCAGCTATAAGTCCAAAATGATGATGATTGAGTTAAATAACTAAAGTTTTGGGAAAGATTCCTCAAACCTAGACAGTCATACAGTAGACATCTGGGAAAATTTCATGTTACTCATAAGAGGCATAATGGGAACGATGATGATTGTTCTTCTATTCTCTTATCATCATGTTCCTATTACGCCTCTGGCATTTAGGGCAGTGACAAAGCTCCTCCACTCCTGTCTGTTTCTGGCAAGCCTTTCAATGGTTCCCAGCTGTGCCCCAGGTTTTTCAGGTTGGCTTCCACAGCTCTTCGCCATTTTGTTTTCAGGCGGCTTCGTTTTCGCTTGCCTTCAGGTGTCCATCTTATTGCTACTCTGGTGATGGAATCAGTTTCCATCCAAAGCACATGAGCGATCGATCTCCAGCGCCTCCTAGCAGTGATGGTGCTGAGATCCTCTTGGCTGCACTATGTCAATAGATCTTGATTTGAGATTGTTCTGGGCCAAAAGATACAGAGGATTTTTCTGAGGCAGATTGTATGGAATGAAGACAGTTTGGACATGTCATACTTTCTCATTTCCCCAAGAACAGTACAGCCTCTAATTTTATAAATAGTTACTTATACATCTAATAGTTTTGTTATTTGTTTCATGTTGCACTGGTTCTAAGAGGATGTGTTAGCTAAAATAGGGAAGGAACTTGCCATTTGTAATTGTATTGTGCAACGCATAAGAAGTGAGTAAAGATGTAAAACATCATTTGAATGTATTAATATTATGTGTACTGTTTAGTCATACATAAGTGTAAAATGTAATATCCCGGGGGGCTATATTTAACATTTCAATGTGATTCTCTTGCATGCACCTCTACCTTGATATAACGCTGTCCTCGGGAGCCAAAAAATCTTACCGCGTTATAGGTGAAACCGCGTTATATCGAACTTGCTTTGATCCACCGGAGTGCACAGCCCCCCCCCCGAGCACTGCTTTACCGCGTTATATCTGAATTCGTGTTATATCGGGTGGCGTTATATCGAGGTAGAGGTGTACTTGTTTTCTGTAATTGATTACGTTATACAATCAGAATTACTTCACTACATCCAGGGTAAGAAACTAGCTCACATATGTGTTCATTCAAAATCAATTGTGGTGGCATTTCCTAAAACCATTTTACTGTAGATTTGTTTAGTAACTATTAGGGTTTTGATATCTTACTGGTTTAACAACTGTTTCTCTTCCCCCTACCTTTAGCTATAAATATGTGTGAAGCATGCACTTTAAATTATTTTAAGGGACTTGGACTTAAATAGTAGCATATGCAGTGTTACAGAGGTGTTGGATTGTAAAGAATCTTGGGGTGGTTGTTTTTTTACATTTTAATACAAAGTATTGAATCAGTCCTTGGTGCTTTTTGTCTATTTGCAGAGATGTAAAACAGATGCTACTGAAACTAGTAGAACTACGCTCAAGTAACTGGGGTAGAGTTCACGTAACCTCAACATATAGGGAAGCAACACCTGAAAATGACCCCAACTATTTTATGGTATGAATATACTCCAAAACTTCAAATGTTCAAGTTGATTTATATTCATAAAGAAAGGCATAGAAATTTTGTTAACCTTGATAGATGTTCTGGAAGTAGTAAAGGCAATGAATGATTATCCTGCTTATATTAAATATGTGTATAATTTACTGTGTCGTTTCAATTTTAGAATGAACCAACATTTTACACCTCTGAGGGTGTTCCTTTCACTGCAGCAGACCCAGGTATGTCTCCAGCTTAGTATAGCTATATATTTCTTAGGAAAATGACTAAGTTGAGGAGGCCCTGTCCAAATAGGCACAAAGTATAAACCATTTTTAAATAATGGAAATGAATGCAGTTTCAATGGCAAATAGTGTGAAGACGGTAACGCAAACAAGTGATTGAATCCTTCTAGTGTGCCCACAGATGGGGACCAGAGAAAAAGCAAAGCTCTTCTTACATCACTCCCTCTGTAAACGGGGATAGCTGGCTCATCCTGCTTTGTTGTTTTCCTGTTTTCTAGCTAATGGAGACAGAAGAAAGACATCTTGTATTTTATGTGCACTCCTTATTCTTCTCTCCTACGTTTAGCAGCAACTTTCTCCTGTGACATGATTTGTTATCGTTGGGAGAATTTTACCCTGAAAAGAGCTGAACTAGGTCAAAAGAGCCCATTAGGCTTGGGTAGATGTGACTTTGACTCTGAAAGGGATATGAGCCAAGTGGGGGGGAGGGTGATGGGGGGTTGTTAGTGGGTTCCCGGCTCTCCGAGCTCTGGTCAAGTGTAGGTAGTCTCTTGGTCTATCCAAGGCCATGATCAAGTGTCTTGATGTTTTTTGGTCTTTTGGCCTCGAGATGAAAACCTTGTCTTTGCTTCTGGGACCTTGAAGTGAAAAAAATTTCTGTAGTAATAAGCCATAAATCCAGTGTCTGTTTAGTCCATGGTTTTTAGAGTCTGGTGCTACAGACCTGGACACACCAACTCAAAGCAGCACCAGACCCTGCCAGAACAACAGATGCAAAATCTGCAGACATATCACTACTGCCACAATGATCAGCACCCTCCACAACACCCCTTTCTTGATCCATGAGTCCTACACATACCTATCACATGTGGTCTACTGCATTAAATGCCCCAATAGCCACTATGTGAGTGAAACCAGACAGTCATTATGCTTTTGAATGAACTCACACAAGAAGATGAAAAGAGAAAAACACCCTATCACCTGTGCGTGAACACTTTTCACAAAGGGATCACTCTATCAGTCCTCATCATCAACGGAAACTTGCAGAACACTTACAAAAGATGAGCCTGGGAGCTTAAATTCATAACTTTTCTAGACATTAAAAATCATGGATTGTATAGAGTGACTGGATTTATGGCTTATTACAACAATCTATAACCCACTAATAACCCTCCAGCTTCTTTCCCCCCCCATTCTTTTCCTCCCTATGACTAGAGGGGTGCTACTTGGCCACTTCTTCTTGAATGGTCCCTTGAAACATATGTCAGCTATGCTAAACAATCTGTTCCATCTTGTATTTAGCTATGACATTCTGCGTATATTTTCCGGGCCTGAAGAAGAGCTCTGTGTAGGCTCAAAAGCCTTTCTGTCTCACCAACAGAAGTTGTTCCAGTAAAAGATACTACCTCATCCACCTTGTCATTAATATCCTGGGACCTACACAGCTATAACAACACTGCATGCAACATTGAAATTAGAAGGGAAGATCACTTTCCTGAATTATACATATCTCATTGTTTATAGCGTCTAATAAAAAGGCCATGTTCATATTGCATCATTGGGTGCTGGACTAATCTTACTCCTATTTTAAATTACATTCTAATTTTACAAGACCTCTTAGAAACATTCGTATGTTAAAAGTAGACTATGTATAAACTTACAATTTTTTTTTCTTCTGTAGATTATCAAGAGAAATATCAAGAGTTGCTTGACAGAGAAGATTTCTTTCCAGATTATGAAGAAAATGGAACAGATTTATCAGGGGCTGGAGATCCGTATGTTTTGTTTTAGTCTGATACTTTTGCTCAAAAATATCTATAAGTTGCATTTTAGTTTTGTGTTTAAATTTTTATTGATTTTTCATAAAGAAGCACAATGAAAAATTCAAAAAGGTACATGTCTTAGAGCTTGGATATGTTTCCAAATATCACATGCTTCATGGGATCTCTAAAAGATTTATGTAATTTGACAAATTGTCAAAGCTGCAAGACCAGACAACACAAAATCAGACAGTACTACATAGACATAACATGTTTGGGTTAGGGTAACAGTAATAAAATAGGAGAAGACACGCATTAATAGGGAGGAGAGAGAGGGATGAGGTGAGGAGGGGTAGGTGGAATGGAGGTCTGGCATTCTTTGAGCCATCCAAGAACTAATTTTACAAAAAATGGAAGAGTATAGTCTTATGCCCAAAATAGAGCACTGCAGTTTTGAGAACATAGGCCCTACACAAAATGCAAAGCATCGTATTGAGGGTTATGGTAATGAACTAAAAGTGGGGAGTTCTAAACATCTAAGTTGGGAAATCAGTATTTATTTCCACAGCAGTGTTACCTGGGCTGCATTGTGCAAACTATATATAATTAATTAAACACTAAAAACTACAGAAAATTAATGTTCCAAAGTCAACCACTTAAAAGTTAGGAAATGCCAGAATTAAAGTTGCCTGTGCAACCTTAATTTGGTCTCCTTCTATGTCTGCATTATGATCGTCTTTAATTACATCATCCCATATTATTATTTTTTCCTCACAGAACCGCTGCTTCATTCAGTGCACAGGCTGAACAACATTCACTGAATGAACTACCATTCAGTATTTCATTTTATCCTCATAGCCCCATGCCTTATTAACTGTATGCTGTTCAAATTCTGCTCTGCATACAGAATTACTAACTTCCTCACTGGCTTTTGTACAGTGCTTATGACTATAATATCTGAATGCTTCACAAGGATATGTCTTCACAACACTCCTGTGAGTTGTATTGGTATTATCCCCGTTTTAGAGATGGAGAACTGAGACATGGAAAATCTAAGATCAGAAGTGTCCACTAATTTTGGGTGCCTAGTATGAGATGCCTAGGCCTGATTTCTTCCCCCCGCACCCTCCCTCCACTAATGAGGTAACAGTTGAGGCTTTTGGGAACACGGGGATGTGTGGGAGTAGGGTTTGGTTGTTAGTCTCAATGCTTCCTTTCTAGAAAAAAGGGATACATCCCAATACTTAACAGCAACCAGCCACTCTGCTGCCCTCACAGCAGTAACCACTACTGAATGAAACTGATAGACATGGACATTAGCTGGAAGTTTTTATTACAATGAGAAGCAGTGAAATAAGTCTTGACTCTGTCATCAGGTTTCAGGGCTTCACCCACTGAGTTCAATGAATTTCACGTGTCTCAAATACATTGCTGCAGACTCTGCAGGCTTGGGGAGACAACATTGCATTCCTTTCAATTCAGTTTGCATTTGGAAGGTTTTTTCACAACCAAAAAGGCTAGAAATGACAGCTTAAACCCTGATTCTGCATTGAGAACTGCAATGGCAAATTGCTGCTGCCTGCACTGAGGCCCACTGACCTCAGTGGGACTCTAAGGGTATGTTTACACAGCAAAGAAAAACTTATGCCTGGCCTGTGCCACTCGATTCAGGCTCGTGGGGCTCGGGCTGCAGGCTGTTCATTGCTGTATAGGCTTCCAGGCTCAGGCTGTAAGCATAGTATTTGGTCCAATGCATAGAACATTGGAGAATGCAGGCTTTTTTTTTTAAGTAGGCTGTATGCCAGAGCCTGCAACCATACGACTTTATGATGTGTCACCATTTGAATCTCATAAACTGAACAGACATGTCAAACCTCCAAGGATATCCTAGGTACTGCAGGAAATAGTTTTGGTTATACAGTAGGTGTCACTCTCCACTTTGTTACCAAACATTGTCCCAACATGGTAGTGTATTGTCTGGTGACCTTGACTTTTTTACCCTTAATTAGAGTTGTGGTATATTGATGATTATTTATGAAAAGATGTTTTTTTCTCCAAAGAATACCTTGCAATTTAATCTGTTTTCTGTTTCTCTGTATACTTGTTTTTCTTAAAAGAAAACTATACAAATATAGCCTAACAGTATGTTTTGTTTTTGTTTTTAATTTTTTGCAGGTACTTTGATGACATCGATGATGAGATGGATCCAGAAATTGAAGAAGCATATGAAAAATTCTGCTTAGAATCGGAACGTAAGAGAAAACAGTGAGATGTTATACACAATATTAGCTTAATAAAACAGTTTAGGTATGATTAGTAAACAGGGAAAACCACGAGAACTTGTCACATGTATACCAAATTAAGGATGTTGAGTTTCTCTGAGTATTAAAGTTATGCAATTTCCATTTTGTTAAACTGAATCTGCCAAAAATTGTAAACTTATGCCCTGTAACTTAAAATGTTGTGTATATATCATAGTTTATTTTATGTACAGTTAAATGAACAATGTTTTGGCTGCAATAAAATTGTTTTGAAAAGTATCACATGGAAATAAAATTTTACTGACTGGGAACTGTCCCATTAAAATGCTAAATTTCTCTTGGAAGACATGAAAACCTTGAGTTAAAAATAAATTGCTCACTTATTTTAGTATACACTAGGATTGCCTCACCCTTTTTATCATACAGGAATTTTCTGGTATTACATATTTTTAGGTTAGGAAACTCAACTGCAGATGGGTAGATTTTTTTTAAATGTGTATCACAATCATGAAAAAAACTAGTTATTTTTTTTCCAACATGTGTGGCGGTATTTGGGGTTCTTTTCTGGAATAAACATTTTTAATATGTGACACCATTAATACACAAGCACTGCTTTGGAAGCCAGGTGCTTTAAGGACACTTGTCTATTTTCAAGTTTTGCAAGCAGAAGCTTCTACTAAATATTTTGCATTCTTCTACAAGAAAACATTAATCTAACTAGGTTTTAGCCCGTGCTCTACAACGTGTGCAGCTTTGAATCTATGTATTCTTGAATGTGATTAACATGATTAACATGTCTACCCTTCTGAGAGAGCCCCAGGACACTCCTTAGTCGTCCTAATTAATTTATACAATTTAGAGTGTTGATTCCATAGTTTGGTTTGTATCAGTTTTTACATTTCAGATATATTAACAAATTTTGAAGTCAACTGCTGCTTGTCTCCAATCTAATAATTTGTTTTGTAGTTTTTCTGAAATACCCAAAGACAATTTTTATTATTGCCTATAATTCAGTTGTAGTGGTTCATGCTATTTGGTATTGGATAGATGAAGTAGAACCCATTACCAAACTCAAAATGCATATGTTTCCAACTTCCCAAGAAGTAAGTAAGATAGCTTATGTAAAGAAAACACATGTTGTAAATATGCATGTAAATAGTTCTGTTAATATTGCACTGTAATACATTTGGTACAATAATTTGTGTATCAGCTATACCATTAGCATTGACTACATTTTCTTGCTGTTTATTTGTTTAGCATATTAGTTTAGAGTAAGTTTTGAAAAATAAAATTTAACTAGCTTTGTTTCCTTTGGAATATTTTCATTATGCTTTTCTTTTCCTGGTTTCAAAAAAAAATTTGATTAGAATTTTTTGTTTCCCCAGCTTATTTTAACAATATCTATGTACTCAGTGCCTAATACTGAATCAACTTAATATCTCATATTCAAGCATTTATCAAATTATACTTGCAAGAAGGCAGCAGATTAACATTTTTTGATTACACAACTGCATTGAGAATTTTTTTCTGTAATACA